TTTCCCATTAGAACCGCCCATAAGCTCAGCCATTGGCTCTGCTGACACTTGCTAACGTGTGATTGGCCATTCCTGCCACTTGTGTACTTGACAGCTCTGCACGCCTGACGTTGCATAAAAGAGCCTCCCGGCTGTAGTTTTGCACCATCTTTTCAACTGTAAAGACGCCCCTGGTCCTCATGACGGTTGTGACACCACACACACACACACACACACACACACACACACACACACAAGTCAAAACTGCATCCATACTCACAGCTGACTATATATTTAACTCTAACTTTACTATTTTTCAGCTGGTTATGAACGGGGGAATTTGTGGATTTCCCAGCCGAGGCTTTGAGGGAGATGGAGCAGCTTAGTTCATTAAATCCAGTAGGTTGGTGACCCAGCTGGAAGACGTGCACGCAGACGGCACCAAGACCTTCTGGAGCTTTGGAAGAAGAGACAGCCAGCTTCACTCAAGGTGAACAAAAATGTGTTGACGCTATAGATTTGAGTCATCTGACACTTCTAGGTGGACCTTGTTTTTGGCATTCTCACTCTTGTTTCCTTTGTTCTCTCTTCACTGGTTGTGCATTTGGAGAAAAAGCTTAACCAATATTTTACTTTATCTTATTCAAAAGGGCACGACTGGTTTATTTATGCGAGGTGTTAACTGATACTTTTCACACACACACCACCTGAACACACCCTGAACCAATGAAAACTTGTTTTAGAGCACTTTGACAGGAAAGGACGTCGCATGTAGTCCAGATGTTATAATAAAACAAATGTTTTCAGTCATTCTTATGTGTGAGAATATTTTTATTTTACAGATATTTTTTAATATGTTTATATTGGATATTTCTAAGATGGAAAAAAGAAAATTGTGTTCTGATGAATGAAACGCTTCTCCATTTAAATGTTAATATTTTCGTTTCCTGTAATTCCTTTTGTAAGTCATCTAAGTGGTTCTTATTTAGGGGTTTGGAGTTAGATTGATGTTGGTTTGTAGCGCAGGTGCAGCAGATGGAGGTGAAGGATTACAGTAACTCCTTTAACAGGCGGTGAGTGGAGTCTGACATCCGATTACAGACCTCCATCCTCCTCAGAGAGGAGGCAAGTGGATCTCATTGCTCGGAGTCACGTGTCCTCTCTGCTGCTGCAGCTGAAACCTGCACATCGCTGAAAGTGTGGGAGGTGTTGTGGATGCAGGGGGGGACGCAGCTCTGAGAACCGCACCATTAGTTCACCATGCTGATTACATGGTGGTATTTATACCTTGCAGCTCGGACCTTCGTCGAACAAAGCAAGTATTGCTGCTGTTCTTGTGTGTGGCTGCCGTGTCATTTCAAGGTGAACTCTGCTGATAGCTAGTGTGGAATGGAGCTCTGTCAGTGTGATCGCTGCCAGGTTTACTTTTGATCCTACTACCTACCAGTTTGTAGTATCTATGAAGTTTGATCATGCAAGGCTGCAGGCAGGACTGTTTTGATTGCTTTCTTTAATTTTTTAATGTTCTAACCAGTACCTCCATTTCCTTACAGCGTTGAGAATGACTTCGGTCCTGCAGAAACTGATCACCCCACTGGCCAGTGGTCCTCCTGAGCCCCCCAGGAATAAAGTGACAGTTGTGGGTGTGGGTCAGGTTGGCATGGCCTGTGCTGTTAGCATCCTGCTCAGGGTAAGATCCCCTCTATCCTGCCTGCTGCTGTCACAGTATGTGGTAATACCCAGGATCCTCCCAGACTGACTCCAGATTACTGATCTCTTGGCATCTTGATCTTATCTCCTTAATGTCCACACGAGAAAAACTAGAAAATGTCATGAAAATAGAACATTTACACACTTTTACTGGTGCATCCTGCATGTGCAGCAGAGTGGAAGTAGTTGCACGATAAAATCTGAGTAAAGTCCAGCAGGCATCATCAACTGGCGTCCAGCCCATGAGCTTATTACATCAGAGCTGACTGATGAATGATAATCATAATCTAATACAGGAAGGAGGTAAACATCGCTCAGTCACATCCTCTCATCTGAAAACCTGACAGCTGTATGTAAACACTCTGACGGGTGTGAAAGGTTTGCACAGTGGGATGCAGGAAACTAAAAACCTCTCTTACCAATCCAGGCTTATGCAAGGCTTTCACTTTTGGACTAAATTTGGACCAGTTTCACTCTATAAGTGTATGACCAGCCTTATGCTAAGATTTTATTTACATCTTAATAGATAAAAATTATAAGAGGGAAGGGATGAGATTATAGTTGAAATGTCAAGAAAAAGTTTTTTACTCAGAGGGCACCATCTAGAGGCAGGAAAAGGTATTGCACCTTAAGCCCTTCTCCATACCTCTGTGATTACGGCTGGAAGCTACTCTGTACCAGTCTCCCTCCGCAAACACTCGCTTGCCCGCTCTGTTTGACACCTGTACATAACCGCATGTCCTACGCTACTGGCTAACGCTGGGTGGAACACAACTCCAACTCCAGCTTCAATGGGCTCTACGAGACAAGGAGCAGGCTTAGAAAAAATGACGAATTGCATACACACAGTAGGGTAAGACTACCACTTTTACAGATTTCTAAAGAAAATCGCATCTAATTCCTGAAAGGGGAAAGCTCTGGATTGCTGCTTTAAATGGAGAAATATGTACATCTAAGCATCCCTATTTACTGTAATCACAATTGATTTAGTTTACAGGAAGCAGTCATGTTGATCTGAGGTCTGTTATGTTTGTAGGAGCTGGCTGATGAACTGGCTCTAGTGGATGTGGTGGAGGACAAGCTGAAAGGAGAGATGATGGACCTGCTCCATGGCAGCCTTTTCCTCAAAACCCCTAAAATAGTTGCAGACAAAGGTGAGGCTATTTCTCAGAAACACAGTTTATGCTCAGTCATATTCTTTGTGGCAGAGGCAAATGTATTATTTATTTGATATTCTGTATAAATATACAATATTACCTTACTTGATCTTTATTGTAAATATCAGAAGATTTTAGGATTTTGCTTTATTAAGTAATTATACACACTTCGTTTTGATTCAGAAAAGAGTCAGGTTTATAAAAGTAAGAAATTATTTTATTACAATTATAACATGATAAGTGAACTAAACATTTTCTGTGATTGGATGAAGCTATGTGTCAATGTGTTATTGGTCAGAACTTCCTAATCTCGGAAAGCGACCTCTCCTGATGAAAAAGAATTTGGATTGCTTAAGCTATGAAGTTGTTATCGTTAGAAGCACATCAGACGCAATCTCTCTGTGTTCTGCCTCACCCTTTTGATGACCCTCGTCACCGATCCGGAGGTCAGAGAGGTCGGATGACCTCTGGACACCCAGCGGGTCCAGTAGATTGACCACAAGCACAGACTTCTCCAGTCCAGAGCTGTCACCAGGCAGCACAGGTTGGGATCAGCTTGTGTCTCAGGAATAACTCTTAAGGAGTTGAACAATATCAGCTTGTTTCTGCAGGAACTGTCTGCTGTGTCAGATTTGCAGGTGGTTTTGACGATGTGTCAAAATCTTTGATGGTTAAAGAGGTTTGGCTACAGATGGCTGGTCTGAAGCTTTCTCTAGAACTCACAAATCACTCAAGATGATCTAGTTTTATGGAATTGATGTTAAGATTTGCACAGCCAATCAGAGGCTGACAAGTTTGGAGATGTTTTACCAAGACAACTCAGAAAACGCCCTCTTTGATATTGGATGTCCTGACTGGTATAAAAAAAACAAGTTATGTGTTGTAGTCTAACTTAACCGTACTTGTTATTGTGTGGATGCAGGTGTGAGGACCTTGTCGTCAAAACATGTTGAACACATGGCAGGTTCTAGTAGACACACATAATAATAACATCCATTCAGTGTGCACAGATTAATGAAGCATTTCATTATACTATAATTATTATAAGTAGTAATAAACAAATAAGATAAGATAAGATAAGATAAGATGACCTTTATTAGTCCCACAAGTGGGAAATTTGTTTCGTTTACAGCCAAGCAAAGTAAAAGTAAAAGTTATGCTGAAGAGGGAGAAAAACATTAAAATACAATACAATAAAACCGACCGCAATGAGATAAAATAAATTCAATACAATAGACAGTTTATACCTTAAGAGTGGGTTAAAAAGTAATAAATAATAACCATACTAGATACAGCTAGAAATACAGAGTACACTTCAACCGACAGATTTGTTGTAAAGTCTGACAGCAGTGGGGAGGAAAGACCTACGGAATCTCTCTGTCCCACACCTTGGGTGCCGCAGTCTCCCACTAAAAGAGCTGCTCATAGCTGTCAAAGTCACCTGCATGGGATGAGAGATATTATCCAACATGGATGACAGTTTAGCTGTCATTCTCCTGTCACTCACCACCTCCACAGGGTCCAGGGGGCATCCTAGAACAGAACTGGCCCTGCGGATCAGTCTGTTCAGCCTCTTCCTATCCCCCGCAAATGTTTATTTAATGATTATCTAGATTATAAGTCATGGAAGAAGTTCATATTGATTTAGGAAATCATTCTTGAATTTAGCAACTGATTCGAGCTGGTGTTCTTCTTTCTTCTGGAGGCAGACAGATGGGACCTTGGGGAAAGAAAGTTATTGTTTATTTTTCAGACTTGTGAATCCCAGCTGGTGTGAAGGCAGACTCATTTTAAGGGAACACAAGCAATTTTGTGTCTCCTTTCTGACCAGATGTTGAATAGATGGTGAAAGGTCAAACAGTGTCTAAACTGACCATTGCTGGATGCAACACCTTTAAAATTTGTAAAGAATCCTAAATAACTTAAATGTGGCAAAAGCACGAGGCAAATGCCCCGAGGTTCTGCTCACGATGTTTATTTATAACAAAAGATAAGAAAGGAACAGAGGTGTGTGTGTGTGTGTGTGTGTGTGTGTGTGTGTGTGCACGCGCGCGCGCGTGTGTGTGTGTGTGTGTGTGTGTGTGTGTGTGTGTGTGTGTGTGTGTGTGTGTGTGTGTGTGTGTGTGTGTGTGTGTGTGTGAGGTCATGTGTGAGAGAGAGAGTGTGGGTGTGTATGGGAAGTTACAAGGTAACAAGAATCTGTGTGTATGTGGGAATGCTTTCAGGCATAAGGTAAGACATTTGTTAATAGGATTAAAATGATGAAATATAACATTTCCATAACATAATCCCTCCTGTTTATCCGAATAGGATAACCAAACTAAAAGAAAGCAACAAGCAAAGAGCAAATAAGTAAAATTATGAAGAACAAATAAAATAATAAAACACGATAAGGCAACACAACTGACAATAACATCAAACAGCAGTTTACAGAGATACAAGTGAGATAATGGAGATCAGTTAGCTCAACACCAACATAAACTTAAGAAAAGCTATTTCATACATATTTAAGTGAATTTACTGTAATGCAACTGTTCTACAATTTATAGCAGTTCCTGTAAAAAGATTGGGAAGGGTTAGCAAAACCATATAAAATACAGAAAACATCGATAGAGTTTATTGAAACATCAAATGAATTTCATTTAAAGCTTCAAGTTGCAGACAACTCTTTCTGTGAATGAGGGAAAATGAACGTGTAATATGAATTTATGCAGCTCTAACTATGGCAGAAGCTGAGGCTAGTCAAGGGTTCTTCATCAAAGGGCTTGTCCGTAGACTGAGAGTCCCGGTTGGAGAATAGTTTGGAAGGTTAGAGTCCTCTTCAGTTGATCAGGATGGTTTCAGTCTCACGTTGGTGAGTTCCTTGAAGTACAGATCCAGAATGCAAGAATGGAGATCAGGATGTGAGAGCTTACAGTTCAACTTCTCAATAGGAAGACGTCAGGGTCCTTCCGTGGCGTGTTGAGATGGTTGTCCAATTGTCAGGGAGCTGATCTTGTCTCCGGAAAGTCCTTTTGATCCTTTGACCGTGGAACCAGGTTGGAGATTGGGTACAGGTGATTGAAGCAGTTATCCTTTTCCAGCGTCTATTCTTCGCTGTGTCCTGTCGTAGTTGCATCCAGGGGGTCTTCAGCCGAGGTGGGTGCAGGTCACATTGTCATGTAGGTGTGCGGTCAGGGGGGAGCCCCGATCCGTCGTTTCAGTTCCAGTTCTAGTACCCCCTCAGATGCTGCTGACCCAGTCATTCCATCAGGTGCTGAGAGGCGGCCCAAGCGCAGAGCCATAAACGTGCACCAACATCAACAATGTGGTGAAGCCAGCAAGCTTGAAGCAGATCTTCGTCTTCATCTTTATCTTTATCTTCCCTGGGGTTGAGACGTGGGACCCTAAAGGTAACGCACCCCTTTGCAGCCGGACTTTGTTGTGCTCTAAAAGCAGTTAATTGACGTAGATACGCTTGCAGTGGGACAGATGATTCCAAGATGGCCTCTCAACAATCTTCACAGCAGTAGGAGTGGTGAGGAGTACATCGAATGGACCATCTCACCTCTGGCTGCCCTATTGTCTTGTTCCAGCACCTTCATCAGAACCCAATTTCCTGGTTTCACAACCTGTGGGCGAAAAAGAACAAGTAAATTCTGGGAGATCACTGTTGATTTTGACTTGTTTTCAGCAAAAATTCTTATCATCCAAAATTTTAAGTATTTTCTCTGTCGCTCTGGACTCCAGTTATTTTCAGTTGTACTAACAAAGATTCTTTCAGCTCAAATTCAAGGACTCAAACATCCAGCCATAACCTCATTCACAATGTGTTCTATTAACTTATCTTATAACAGAGGCACACAGGTGAGCGCGTGTGTGTAGGAAAATCGTTACCAACCGTCCCTCCTCTTGAGACATGAGAGAACTCATGGCTCACCAGAGCAAACGAGGCATAAAGGGACATAAACAAAACAGGTCTGATACCGGCAAACATTGTGTCAAATCGATGCAAAAGTTGGATCCTGCATAACATATTTCCTCTAAAGGCTAAGAATACCCAACCAAGGAACTTGTAATATACATTTTACATCAGTAGGGGGCAGAGTCGTGCAGCACAATGTACATAAAACAAATAAAACAAAACAAACTAACAAAAAATATACCCTAATCAGTGTAAAGAAAATTGAAAATAAACACAAAAAGTGATTGTAATCTAACAAAATCAAGAAGAACCAACCCATCTGGGAAAAAGGGAAGCTTCTCAGCATCCACAAGCTCATATCACATAACAATAATGTTAGTGCCGCTCTCTCGGTCCGCCAGGCGACGCCTCTTTCAAAAGTGTTTTCCTAACAGGAAGTGTGTATGAAATATGTCTCCAGCCAGGCCTTGACCCTCACTTTAAAAATGTAAAAATATTTTCTACTAAACAGAGGCTTTGAAATTAACTAATCTTGATATATATATATATATATATATATATATATATATATATATATATATATATATATATATATATATATATATATATATGTATATATACATATACATATATACATATACATATAAATGTATATATATATATGTATATATGTGTATGTATGTATGTATGTATGTATGTATATATACATGTATGTATATATATATATATATATGTATGTATGTATGTATGTATATATACATATATGTATATGTGTATATATACATATATATATATACATATGTATATATAAATGTATATATATATATTTACAAATACATATATATATGTATATAAGAGAGAGAGAGAGAGAGAGAGAGATGTGTAGTGTAGAGTTCAGGGAAAGGTCTGAGGGTTACTGCCTGCTTTCTACCAACTACAAAGAATATCAGTGAAAGGTTGATTTTTTTTCTTCATGAAGAGTGAATTGTTGTGATTTATTTAATTGTAGTTTTGTTTTGTTTGGAGCACATAAAAAGGTTTGTATGGTCTTGTAGCCCAGGCTCTGCAGAGCTACAGCTTGCTGATATTTATTGGCATAAACTTTGATGCTAAACTTTTTCGTCCCCCAATAGGGGTTTGCTCAGGCTCAAGCGTTCGTTTGCTTTAAAGCATGATGTTTACTAATAGGTCATCACGTTAAATTCCCACCCCTGTTAAAAATATAAAGATGTCGAAAAGCTTTTAAAGTATAAATTCAGAAGCATCAAACTTTCTGAACATTCTCTGACCAGAATCTAATGGTTTCATCTGCAGATGCCTTTTGGCCCTGCATCAAGACCACTCTTGGTACCCGTGCTGACCTCCACTTCTCCTTTCTCAGACTACTCGGTCACAGCCAACTCCCGTATTGTCGTTGTGACGGCTGGAGTCCGTCAGCAGGAGGGGGAGAGCAGGCTCAACCTCGTCCAGCGGAACGTCAACATATTTAAGCACATCGTCCCTCAGATAGTTCGATACAGCCCCGACTGCATCATCATTGTTGTCTCCAACCCAGGTGCCTCTCTGTTTTCATTCTCACACTCATCTTCATTTCTCTCTCTCTCACACACACACACACACACACACACACACACACACACACACACACACACACACACACACACACACACACACACACACACACACACACACACACACTCACACACACACACACACACTCACACACACACACACACACACGCAAAAGATATTCAGTACTCATCGTTGATGCTGCTGACCTCTCACTCACAGTGGATGTTCTGACCTATGTCACCTGGAAACTGAGCGGCCTTCCCAAACATCGAGTCATCGGCAGCGGCACCAACTTGGACTCTGCTCGCTTCCGCTTCCTGATGGCCGACAAACTTGGGATCCACTCCAGCAGCTTCAACGGGTGGATCCTTGGGGAACACGGAGACACAAGTGGTGAGGATTGGTGGATTTCCTCTACGGGTGAAAGCAGACGAACCCTGTCATCGTTGTGTAGTGTGACCATGTGAGCTGTATTTGTATATGTTGTATGACTTAGTTCCTGTGTGGAGTGGAACCAACGTGGCTGGAGTCAACCTGCAGACCTTAAACCCAAACATCGGCACCGACTTTGATGAGGAGAACTGGAAACAGACTCACAAGATGGTGGTGGACAGGTAGGTAGACCGGAGGAGCTTCTTCTGGCCTTTTGGAACACAGTTTCATATTAAAATGTTATTTCAGGGAAATAAAAGTGAAATATTCTCATTTTTCATTGTCACACAGCTGTTGAGGCTGTGGGAATCTGCTCTGTTTGACCCTCAGGTTTCAGTTTTAGTATCTGAGCTGTGTGTTCTGTTTGCTTAGTGCCTACGAGGTCATCAAACTGAAGGGCTACACCAACTGGGCCATTGGGCTAAGCGTGGCTGACCTGACAGAGAGTCTCATGAGGAACATGAACAGAATTCATCCTATCTCCACCATGGTGAAGGTACCACCAGATCTCCTTTTCTTGCTCTTATTCTCAGGTCCTCACTTCAATGAAACAGAAAGGCCGACAGGTTCGAGGAAAATAAAGTCATTAAAAATTTGACCATTGTGTTTTATAAATAAAGGTTTTATGCTTAAGGTTTATTACCTAAAACCGCCCCTGCTGTGATGATAAATCAAGAAACTTTCAAAATAAAGCAGCTGTTGTTCATCCTTATAAAAATTAACATTTTCATTTTCCAATCTCCTCTGGGATTGGTCTTTGTGCGCTTCTCCACCAACAGGGCATGTATGGGATCAGTGACGAGGTGTACCTGAGTCTGCCCTGTGTGCTGAACAATGGGGGCGTGGCCAGTGTCATCAACATGACCCTGACTGATGACGAAGTGGCCCAGCTGCAGGCCAGTGCCAGCACGCTGTGGGACATCCAGAGGAACCTGCGGGACATCTGAACAACCGCAGGATGGGTGTCTCCGCCCCACCTGTGTTGACTCACTGTGATGGGTTTTTAATCCCTCAGATTTGACTGTAGTTGTCAGTTTGTTAAAGAAAAGACAAAAAGTGATTTTTTTTTTCAGACTCAGAAGCTCTAAGACTGCTCGTTTCCACCAGTGATGAATGCTCTGAAATGAAATAAACACATTTACTGATGCATGGACTCAGGTATTCAGGGGTATTTAGCAAATCTGTGACTATTCGTGTGCCTGAATGACAGCTGCAAAGGGATGAGATGTCACTTAAATCATAGCTACCTTCTCTTTATTTGACCAGTCATGACTTCAGTGGTGATGCCAGTGAACACTGGTGCTGGCTGAAATCACTAATTGGTGTAAACGAGAGACCGATGTGAGTTTTTCATGCAGCTTTTATTTGAAATAAGTCAGAATAAACTCAAGTTTCACACTGATAGACACATAACAGCTTCCTGAATATTTATGGGAATACATTAACACAGCAGCAAACACATAGAGAGAGGATCACTCTACTAGAGAAGAGTTATTGTAGGCATAGGTTCTGGTGACTTTGGGTTCGCTGCCTCCACCTGATGGAGGAAAAGAAACACGTGTTTACAACCTCCTCAAATTATGAGCAGCCAGAGGAGATGTGAGTTTGATGGCTTCACCTTCCTCCACAGCCCGCTGCAGGAGCTCCAACACAAGGAAACAAGCAGCAAGCCATCTCCGTCCATCACTGGTCTGATTGTGAGTCACTGAGGAGGAAAACTGAGTTTATTTATTTATTTATTTTGGTCATTTAAAAGGAAAAGAAAGAACTCAGTAATACAGAATCTCAATTATAGTAACTAAAAACGTGTAGGCTGAAGCCTAGCATTTTATGCCTACCCTATTTACTCAGTCACATTACTTCTCAAAAAAAGAAGAAATGACAATAATAAGATAAAAGTAATGTAATAATAAAAATGAGAGTGAGATCGTCGTCTTCCTCCGCTTATCCCGGTCCGGGTCGCGGGGGCAGACTCAGATAAAAATAATAATTACGATAATAATAATTGAAATATATTGAGCAACAACGACCATAATTCAGCAAGAGGGAAAATACCCAGAACTAAAGACAGAACTATACAAAACTACCAGTAATCTTCATAAGTCAATGAATAATAATGATCAAAACAGAGATTTAAATACTACAACTTGAGCAAGAACATTACATTTTCATTCACATCTATCAGATACACTAGCTCACATACGGTCATTATGGTAGTATGACATCATCTTCTTGACGTACATTTTTTTAAATGATTTAAAAGTTTTACATGCCCTGATTCCGGTGTCCAAGTGATTCCATAATTTGACTCATACTGTTGTGCAACTCTGACTTCTAACATTTGTTCTTACTTTCTCTCTGACAAATTGTCCTTCTCCCCTTAGTTCATACTGAGTTTCTTTGACCTGGAATAGCTTCTGAATACAATCTGGAAATATTTTATTTTGTACTTTATAGAGTACTTGTGCTGTTTGTAGTTTGACCAGATCTGTAAATGTAAGTATTTTTTATTTTATGGTAATCAGAGTTGGTAATTACTGTTTAAAACAACAACTAGTGTTACTGTGTTTGTCAGAGCTCATTTTGGGTATTTTTTTCATCATTTTTTCCCTACGGGGTGACTTCACATTAAAAAGGGGTTTTATAAAAGTGGTTGAGTCTAGTTATGAATAAAGATGGCTGTGTTGTGCTATTTTTAGTTTTTAAGTTAATCCATTCAAATTACTCATCTCAAGATCCAATGTACACAGTTCAGATTAATATTAGTTATTTATAAAAGCTCAATTACAATTAAACAAAACACACCTAAACGCATTGCGTCTGCCTCTCGTCTGCTAGGTCGCTCCAACACCGAGCCGTGTCCTGTAACACATCAACATCCACTATTTACTGTCCTCTGATGTGTCATCGGATGATTTTCAACCAATACTCCTGGGTCGGCGCACTTACGTGCTCCTTTCAGGTACAGGATTGCCTGAGGAGTCCAGTTTCTCCTCTGAAAGATTAAAAAATACACATATAATTTTAATTTTATATTTCCAGACGTGACATTTTAAAAAAGCACAGTGAGCTTGTTGTTACCTGTGGAGCCGTGCAGCACTGAGATACCAGAGACACCACGAGCAGTAACACCTTCAGAGACATTCTGTAATAATAAATAAGCTGCGTGAACATTTATTAAGTAATCAAGTTGATTTATAAAACAAACCAGACTCGGGTAAGTCCTGACTTCTGTTTGATACTTTATCATATACACATAAGCTATCATTCTAAAAATCAAAGCACAATGTAAGAAAAACCCAGATAAATAAACAAAAGAACTGAATTTATGGAATAAAAATCAAGTTTTCAGGATGTTGTATGTTGAGCATCTTTAAGGAGATCAGGTCCACTTCTTTTTCCAGTTTTACTCCTAACTCGTGCTAGATTCACCTACAAACTCAAGTTAAATTATATCACACTTTGCTTCATCAAATCCCAAAGACACCACTGGTAAATTAGGATGATTTAGTAAATTGTTAAATCCTTATCAAGGTGAGGTATTGCGGTTTAATGGTATTTATGATGTTTTAACTTACCTGACCTTCGCTGGTCCGTTCTGTTGTGTTACAGGAATTAAACCAGTCTGATGTACAGGGTCGGTCATGAGGCTGATGGGTAATTTAATTACATCACATCTGACAGAGTGGCAGCTGCTGCTGGATCTGTCTCTGAGCGTTAACCACAGAGACACGTCTGAACTTTTGAGCCTCTCATCAGCAGCAGATCTCACAGCAGGACGGTGTGTGTGTGTGTGCATGTGTGTGTGTGTGCATGTGTGTGTGTGTGTGTGTGTGTGTGTGTGTGTGTGTGTGTGGCACATGACCTAAGGCTGTATGAGAGTGGTGATGCTTTCCACTAAAAGCTGAAAGCTGTGTGAATAATTAACACACAACATAAATGGCCTGTATTTATATAGCACCTTCTAGAGTCTTAAGACCCCCCAAGGCACTTTACAATACAACCAGTCATTCACACACACACACACACACACTGGTGGTGATGATCTATGTTGTAGCCACAGCTGCCCTGGGGTGCACTGACAGAGGTGAAGATACCAATCACAGGTGCCACCGGTCCCTACGAATCACCAGCAGGCAAGGTGGGTTGAGTGTCTTGCTCAAACTGCAACAACCTGCAACCCTCTACTAACAAGGCAGGCATCGGGCAGGCGCTTGACTCCTCTGCCACCGTTGCCACAGCCTTGTTTTTTTTTTTTTTGTCAAAAGGCAGATCTTTGGTTTGTATCTCAGCTGATCTCCACTCACGTGGTAAACACGCTGGTTTCTGTCACAGACTAGAATCAGCTGTTTGTCCTGCTCACACTCTTAAATTTAGGAGTAAAAACAAGGCAGTTACCATTTATTACAAGTGAAGAACACTAGTGAGAGGGGAGATTGAGCAGAAAGGGAGTACAAGCAGAGGGAAATGCAGGGTAGGTGATCTCTGGAGGGCTGGGTGATAACTGTTCTGTTAGCACTTGGTGAGCCATATCACCATCACGGAACGGCTCTGCTAGTTGGCAGTCCTTAGATGACCAGCTACAACATCTTGATGTAAGCCTTTGCAAGAGGATTCTTGTAGGTGGTAGCCGTTCCGTTCAAGATATTGTAGGCTAACATCAGTGACTGTGGCTAAGGCTAGCCAGTGGAGTTCAACTGTGGAGATCTTTTAGGCTGATTGAAGACCAGACTGACGCAAACAAAGGGGGAAAGCTCCAAAGAAAAACTTTTTGTCTTGTTGGAATCGACATTCAGATAAACTCCTCTCCAAAATGACCAGAGGCTTATAGTGACTCTGTACTGAAGCCAGTTGGTGTTTACCTGAATGTAAAGTATAAAAAGTAAAACAAAGACTGACTCAGAGTGAAAGAGGTTAGCATGTAACAAAGTCAACAACAAACTCCCTATCCCAGTCTCCTTCATGGACGTCATCCTACAGGAGACTCTCTAAACGTATTACTAAATGTAACCACTAGATGACACCAAGTCAACTGGCATGCAACATCCTAGTCAAAACTCAAAATGATCAGAATATGGCACAATAGTGTTTTATTTCAGCACTTCATCTTAGACTGAGAGACCATCTAAAGGCTCAGGAACCCTCTGCAGGTGTTCTGGGTTCATTAGCTGATTGAACCTTTTCTCAATATTCTAATTGTCTATTTTGATTTGAATTTAGGGTTTTCATAAGCTGTAAGCTATAATCATCAAAATTATAACAAAGGCTGAAATGTCTGTCTCTGCATGTAATTAGTCTATCTCATGTATTAGTTTCACCTTTTATGTTGAATTTCTGATATAAATGAACTTCGGCACCATATATTTCAAGTTTCAGCTGTACTTTTAGAAACCTTCACAGAGTCAAGAGAATTATTGACCAAACCCGTTTAAACACAAAGCTCTGGCTGCTTGGAGATAAAATGGAAACTTTTGTCCAGCGATGCTTGTTCTCAAAATTTCAATTAAACGAAATCTAAACTACTTGCTGAACTTTTACCTTCAAGCTACTTTTTACTGCTTTTATTGGATGCAGAAATACATTTTCCATTTGTGTAAATAAACCATTTAGTTCAAGTGAAGAACGATGTGAAAATTTCCAATTTCTTTGCTTAAACTAATATTTTGAACAGAAAATACCAAACACATTTGTAAAAAGACACACTTTATTGCAAGTATGCACTTAGAAAATTGACAATAGACGTTACATTATAAATGATTTAACTGTTTTTTCTTTTTATTTTACAACCGTTCGCATTTCTGTTAAGTTTAGCTCAAATCTTATTTATTTCAAGGTTCAGAATTTAATCAACACGTCATTTAGGAACATAAAAATGCTCCCAGGCACACGACTGGAGAACTGGGTTCTGTGAAAAGCTCAGGACTCTCCTCTGAAAGGGTCCAGTGGTCCCATGAGTTCAGTTCATTCATATTACAAAGGAATGGTACTTACAATGGTGCTTTTACATAAAATAATAATTTAAAAAAAAACATTGGCATTGTAGTCCAGTCAAATACTGAATCTGTTTAAGAGAAGAGGCTGAATGATGTCAGCAAAAGATCAGATACACAATTCACTGTTCTGAGGTGGCAATGTTCAAAATATACAGTCAGAAACGAAAATAAATAGTGGAAATTTCCTTTTTTTAGCAGCTTTTTGCTATACCATCGCATTGCTCTCACCAATTTTGTCCACCAGCTGAAAGACAACAGAGAAAAATGGTCCAGTTATGTAAGATTTATTTTAATGACTTATTCACGCAAAGGTTTTTTTCTTCAAATCAGTTTTTGTCACAGATTCACATGAAACTTACGGCACTGATTCCTGGTAAGCACAGCAATGATCCAAGCACAGGAACTCGTCTGATAAATCCAACCGCCACTGGGAAGAATCCCCTACACACAGACAGAAAGGACATTGTGAGACAAAAGCATTGATGGGGAGGGCAGAAAGAGGAGGCAGTCGGTCTGAACTGACCTGAATAAAAGGAAGAAACCATAGATCTCCAGAACAACACCAATGATCGGCCAGCCGATCAGAACCACAAAGACTCCCCCCAGGAAGAAGCTAGTGGCTTTTGCTTTGTGCCTCTGGAAGAAGAATCTGAAGGTGCGCTCCAGGCCGATGACAAAGGCCAGGCCCGACACAAACAGAATCTATATGCAAATGCAAAACATCACATGTCAGCATGTCACGTTTGTGCACACCAGACTGACTCTGGCACACCTGTTGAATGAACTTACATTTCCTATAGCGAGCAGAGCTTTATCAAAGAACAGCATCATCCCAAAGAGGAGGAAAAACACACCAAACCCCGTCAAGCCCATCCCAATTTCTGTAGAATTCAAGAAACAAAGAAATCATGAACATTTCTGCCCCAGATCCTTCATTGCTTTAAACATGTAAATATGAGATTCTGTTAAAAAGGCAGAAAGACAAACTGGAACTTTATAAATGGAATATTTAGATTGAGAACGGGTTCCAATGTAGACGAAAACCGTATTTTTCTTATGTTAGTACATTTCAAGTCTGAAAATGATGACGTCACGTTGTTCTCAGCCAATCGTGTTTGAGAACTTAGCCCAGTACCTTTAGCTGAATGCGGCTACTAGACGCTATAATCAGCAGTAAACGCACACAAAACGAGCCTTACTTTGTGAATCCGTAAGTGAAATCATGTTGACAGCTCAGGGAAGATGAACAACCTTAACAAAAGGCCGTAATTACTCAAAATTACAACTATAATGGTGGCAAGCTAGCTAAAGTGCTGCTACAACAGCAGCGGAGGCAAGGTAGCGGGTTTGTGACGTCGCCACGTTGTCAACGCCGACTGAAGCCACGAAAGCCATCAAAGATCGTCTATATGCTCAGATCATTTTTTCATGGGTTGACTCTGTAGAAAAAGACTTGTTTCAAACATAAATACCAGAGGCGTGACCAAGTCACTGCTTTGTAAGTCACAAGTCTTTCCAGTCACGTCTCGAGTCAAGTCCAAGTCAAAGACAATCAAGTCCAAAGTCAATGATGTGGAAGCCCAAGTCAAGTCCAAGTCCGTAACTTTGAATTTTCAAGTCATAATCAAGACATCTGTCCAACTTCAATTTAATGACAATGATAATAAATAAATTCCAGAATTAAAGCTTCTTAAATCTTCATTTATTTGCTCAAACAAGCAGAAATCGCACCTGAACTTGATTATAAACAAAGTGCTGCTGCACTTAGCAGTACAAGATCAAACCCAGAACGAAGAATGATTTATGATTTTTGTCCATGTCGTGCCACTTTTGTGCTAAAATATCAAACATGCTCAAATCATCATCAAGTCAACAGATGTAAGTCGATTCAAGTCGCAAGTCATTGGCGTTCAAGTCTGAGTCAAGTCGTAAGTCTTTGTAAATTTTATCAAGTCAGAAGTCCTTAAAGTAATGACTCAAGTCTGACGAGTCCGAATCATGTGACTCGAGTCCATACCTCTAGTAAATACAATATTCTAATCTTTTAGTTCAGGTCAGTAGACACCACACTTGTTTTGGACCTCTTACAAGGCCTCAAAATATTATTCTGGTTTGAAAAAGAACCCACACTAAATTGTTGAGGGACAGACTAAAGTTTTCACATTTTGGGAATGGTCGCTGGTTCTGTTCAAGCTAAAGTCTGGCTCTGGCCACATTTGGATTCACTATTGGGTTTGAACCCACCTTTTTCCATAGGCTGGAGAGGAGGAGGAGTGTCTGGAATTTCATATGAGGCATCATTGAGTGAAATTTCCGTGATTCAATGTGGTGATTTTTCCTGTCACCTGACAAAAATATGTTTATATGACAAATGACCAGTAGGACACTTAGGGATGCGGCAATTATGGTGGGATTATAGTCTGAGAAAGTTTCATAGTTAACATTATTTGTATTTTTTTCACCAACAATATGGATATTTAAATCAACACACTGTTTTCCAACACACAAATGATACATGGAAAAATAAAACAATGTAAATAATGACAAGGTGTATCTTTGAAGTGATTTTGGTTTGAAAATTGTGAGAAAATTATGGCAGAAATCTTATGTTATTCAACTTTAACAAAAGGGAAAACTGTGACTTTATAGAGGAAAATAAACTGTACAGAACTAATCCAGTTCTTTCAGTATTTGGTGAAAGCAAATAAAATAAGTCCAGTCCAGTTATTGATTAAATAAACATGAGGATAACTCTTATGTGTTGAAAGTGTGAAGCTGAGACAGGGCCAGTATGTTTGGATCATTAAAAAAAAAAGTTTGAAACTGAAAAAATAAAAGTTGAAACTCAACGTCAATTTTTGAACTTGCGTGACAGGGAGAGCATCCTGTCACTGTATCCCGGTTGATCATGCCTCCTGGCTACTTGGCCACAGGGATATTGCTTTGGCTGACTGGTTAGCGCTTGTGACTATCACAAGGAAGTCTAGGGATCGAATTCCACTTGGGCCCTCATTTCTCCACCTTGCCACATTTGCAATTTGTATAAAAATTCAAGACCATGGTCTTGATTCGTAAACGGGTAGAATGCCTTCTCCGGGTTAGGGATGAGGTCCTGCCTCAAGTGGAGGAGTTTTAGTATCTCAGGGTCTTATTCACGAGTGAGGGAAAACTGGAGCGTGAGATCAGTAGGCGGATTGGTGCTGCATCTGCAGTGATGTGAGCATTGTTCAGATCTGTCACAGTGAAGAGAGCGTAGCCAGAAGACAAAGCTCTGCTGATTGACTCTTTACCGGTCAATCTGCATTCTCATGTGTTCTGTATATTCTGTAGGGACTTTTTATGACTTTCTATATTTCTATGTCGATGATTCTCACCTATGGTCACAAACTTTGGGTAGTGATTGAAAGAATGAGACTGTGGATACAAGTAAATGAAATGAGGTTTTTTTTTTCGCAGGGTGGCTGGGCACTCCATTAGAGATAGTCATCCAAGAGGGGCTCGGAGTAGATCCGCTGCTCCTCCACATCGAGAGGAGCCAGTTGTGGTGGCTCGGGCATATAGGACGCCTCCCTGGTGAGGTTTTCCGGGCACATCCAACCAGGAGAAGACCTAAAGGAAGACCCAGGACAAGCTGGAGGGACTATGTCTCACAGCTGGCATGGGAACGCCATAGGATTCCACAGGAGAAGTTGGCCCAAATGGCTGGGGAGAGGGAAGTCTGGCCCTCCCTGCTTGGGCTACTGCCCCTGCAACCTGACTCCAGATAAGCGACCGAAAATGGAGATGGGTGGATGGATGTATTTCAACAACAACAAAAAAATAAACTTATATATATATATATATATATATATATATATATATATATATATATATATATATATATATATATTGTTGGCTTCAGATTTTAGGTTTTCACATTCAAATCAGTTTCTGATATTTTTTTCACTTTTGGATCTGTTTTCACTTTCAAGTTGTTGTTTTTTTTTTCAAGTTTAGAATTTGGTACTGATCTGACAGCAATGGGTGGAGGAAACATGATTGGCAGTCAACAGATCAACCACAGAAGAGCTGTGGGGTCCACCTCAAACCCTACTGGTTGTGCAGCGCACCAGGCAAAGGGCCAAAGGTAACAAATCATTTGCTGCTGTGGCCCCCAGACTCTGGAATAGTCCTCAACTTTTTCTCATATTAAGCATATTTTTAATAATTTTTTAAAATCTTTTTTATATTACATTTTTTTCTTTTTGTGAAGCGCCTCCTGATTTTTATCTTGAGAGGCGCTATATAAAAGGTAGTTTTCTTTCTTTCTTTCATGATACATTCATCAACTGTGAGAATTTCAAAATTTTAACACTTGCTATACATTTGCATAATTGGTGGAATGGAATTACGTACAAAATCTGGTCCTGTAAGACATTTCAGCTGTGGCTATCACCCTAAAACGTTCAAGAATGATTACGTGTCTTCAAGTTGGGTTTTACACTGCTGAAGTAGGTCTATTTAGACAGGTGAAAAGATTATTATAGTTATCCAGATGTGAGGATATAAATGTGAGAATTTTCATCCCCAGTTTAGCTGTAGAAATGAGAGGTACAATTTGGAAGCAGCTAGAAAATAACATTTATCTGCTGTTTGAAAGGACGCTCCAGTGACCTTGAGGAGTCAAAATGAAGAAGTTCCAAACAAAAGGCTGGACGGAAGGGGCTAAAGGACCAATATGATTTATGATCTGGCATCCACTGATTTTGCAAGTTGTCTCACTTGGAAAGTTAAGAGAGGTCTGTACACTTCATCATAGGTACACTTCAGCTATGAAAGATATAATGTAAAAAAGTCCAGGACATCATATTTTATGATTTTTAAATAATTTTTGTATCAGTGTGCATAAAATAAGTTATTAGCACCTACAAACCCCAAAAGACCTGGTACTTATTATTTAGACTTGTTAAAAGCTCTTCTATCCTCACACTAATTGTGAATTTTTGTTGTGTCAAAATCCCTTTACTTCTGCTGTGGTCTGTCCAGAATTTATAGTCTACATTATTGCTTCCATGCATGATGCTCAAACTGACTGGAAAATAAACAGTACTGTCACTTTAAGGGATCGTAGAGTACTGCGCATGCGCTCCTCTCCCGCATCGGATTATGAGCAGGGAGCAGGAGACACAAAGGTCTGGTACGTTTCTGGTTGGATTTAAATATTTTTTGCATTTGAGTGTAACAAAATGCAGCTTTATATTATTCTGAGGTTGAGATACAACTGAGACTCGTTTAAACTTTGAGTTGCTGTTTACAGTTTTAGAGCAGAGTCGTGTTTACAAGATCTGTTGTTTTTCATTGCGCTGAAGTTAGTTTCAGGTGGATATTAGACAGACGTTTACGCCATGATCTGCTACGGTGAGCGATGGGGGTTTGTAGCGGGAGCTGTGACGGGGTGGCGGTTAGCCGTAGCTCGCTCCTGATGCTAGTTCATTTAGGGACCATCAAAAAATCACTATTTTGCCGAAAACGCACACATGTGCAAACAATCGGTTGCTTTAGGTTATGTGATCAGATGACTCAAAATAAATTCCCTGTTGTTTCAACATCAAGAAAACAATTTTAACATATTTGATGGAATCTCATATTTTAACACTGTAATGAGAAAATGTGATTTTTCCCCAATAGTTTCCAATTGCGTTACCATGCATATACACATATCACACACACATACATACAAAGTTACATTTTATTGATGGCATTTCGATTGCACCATCGTTGTGCCATTCATCCACGACCATCACCTTATGTCGCAGATGATAATGAACGGTTCCATATTGCATGAACCTGTGCACAATTCCTGGAAGCTGAGGCAAAGGTTGGCCACACCAGATACTGACTGGTGTTTTGACCCCATCCTTATAAAGCAAAACTGCAAATTTCTGTGTCCTATTGTGGGCAGTCTAAGGCACACCTGTGCATATTTATGCTGTCTAATCAGCACCTTGATATACCATTCCTGTGAGGTGGGCCAGATTATCTCGTCCAAAGGGAAGTGCTTACCAAAACAGATTTAGACACATTTGTGAACATAATTTGAGGGTAAAGGTATTTTGTGTATTTAGAAAATGTTTCAGATATTTGAAATCAGCTCATCTCTTCATGCTAACCGTAGAGTATACTTTTTTCTCATACGTCCATCACTCTCATTCACATTTGGATTATTTTCTAGTCAGCAGCTCATTGTTGGCTGACATTTCAGACACTGAGATACACCCCATAGCTGTCAGCCACCATGCTCCGGTTTCATTAACTCTGGTAAACAAGAAGACAATCCCACCAAGCAAAAACTGGAGGTTTAATACATCACTGCTTAAAGATGAAGG